TATACAAATCATGAGAAGTCAGGGCCAAATCGTGCACTACATATTCTTTTCTTTTCTTTTTTTGTTAAACAATTTTTTTAAATTTTTTATAATGCGTTCGTTTTTGTAATTTGTGTTCAGGATTATCAAATTGATGAGCTCTCGCAAGAGTATGTGGCTTTACACCCTATGCCTTCTAAGAAGCAACCATCGTTGGTGGAGGAACATTTCAAACCTGCCATGGAGGATGAAGATCAGAACTTAAGTGATTCTGATGCCTCTGCATCATCTTTGTCATCAGAGGATGAACCTGGCCATGAAAAGAGTAAAATGAAAAAGAAAGGACGAACTCCAAGGTGAAGATTTCTGGTTCCTTCATAGACACTTGTTCTCCTGTTTATTTATTTGTTACATTGCATCCATGTCCCTGAGTTTCGTGGAAGTTCGGGGATCTCCCGCTCATGTTTAGAAGTTATACTATCCTGTCCCGTCTAAGGATATTTCACAATACATGTTAGCATTGGGGGAGATTTCATTTCAAGAGTGGGTTTCAATCATGCTTTTGGGGTAGAAATATCAGTTGATCTGTATAAGTTTTCCAAGTGTCTATGACAACAAGATTGAAATTATTGGTTTGCCTGATAAACATTTTGAGTTCAGTTACGAATGGAGGAGTCTAAAAGACAAAACATGTGAACATAGGACGATACAGAACTCAAAGAAAATTGTATTCTCTATGAGAGGTCAGTATAATTCCCGAAAATAGAATATTGAAAACATAAGTGATGTCTGGGCATTTTGAATAAAATCTTAGAAGGTTAGCATAATTTTTTTCTATTTTTAACAAGAGCGAACCATCATCCAGTTTAATGGATTTGGGTCCCTCAAGGAAGGTGCATAATTCACTCGGATCAATAATTGGATCTGTCAGACATGAGCAACTTTTGCTAGATTTGGTGATTTTAACCCAAACCTGATTTGTCTATTTTCTTTCCCGTGAACTATTGCAATGTAATTCTGTGTATTTATTATGTATGTAGTTTTGATTCGAATCTTGTAATGTCCGTTGGAGGTTAAAACTCTAAATCTGAGTTACTAAATATCTGTTTCCTGAAATTCTGTTAGATTGTATGAAGTGAAGGATGAGCGGCATGCAGAAGCATTCTTAAATCATGAGTCATTTGCAAAGGAGGAATTGCTTCCATTGGGTGAGAGGGTAGCAGCTCTCAGAGATGATCGGTGGGTTTCTGCTATCCCAAGTGATGTTAAGCTGGGACCCGGAGGTTCACGTGAGATTTCCTTTAGAGCTAGAAGCTCAGCCAAGTACAAAGAGGACGAGGAGGATGGAGAAGCACAGCGTGGAAAGAGGAGGGGAGTTCAATCATTGGGACTAAAACCAAATAGTAACGGATTTGGAAGTCGAGGGAGAGGGGGCAGGGGAGGTAGAGGAGGCAGAGGAGGAGGGAGAGGCGGCCGAGGGAGAGGTAGAAATGGTGGGTGGTAAATTATTTCCAATTTATTTATCAATTCGTGTATGCATGCGCCATGTTGTCCTTATTTAACCGGACTTTATACAGAGTGACGGTATCATTTTGCTGCTGATATAGTAAATCAAGGGTAGGGAAATCTCCAATGAGGTTCAACAGAGGAAATGAAGCTGTATATTGGAATTATTGTACGTACATTATCAACTTAACGTATTCAAGATAGTATAAACTGGTAGAAGTTAGCCAGAACTTGGAATTGGGTCGTAGTTCTATTCTATATATCATTTCTACAATACTTGGGAGTTATGCAACTATGACTATCAGACTCGATGCGCCCAGGCGCGGCCATACTTGTTTGTTTAGCAAGCGGCCGCATTCTCCAGGTGGAGGAAGTGATCAGGAGGATGAGCTTAAAGCAACTTCTATATTTTCAAATTCCAAACCCTCCCCACCCGAAGGCGCATGTGAATTTGTGGATCTTTATTTTATTAGGTCTGTCGTAGCATGTGTGCAATATGCACTGTACATGTTATTTATTATTTTGTTGTATTGGGTGTGTCGGTGTGCTATTAAGGCTAGTTTAGGATTTTCCTATGTAGTATCATGAACCATAAGCTACGAGTATGAGCTTTGATCTGGAAAATGTCACAAGACCTTGGAAATTGCATAGGCTGCCATGTAGAAATGTTGACAACACGTATAGATGTGTTAGCAACTGCTATTGAATATTGATCCAAAATAGACTTCCACAGTTTTCAATTCCTTTTCAGCTTTCAAAAATCCTATTGAGCCGCAAACGCAATTAGAATTAGCAACTAGAAGCTTCGATTGGTCCTTTTTTGACCCCTGGGTTTGACCAATGAATACCTTTTGTATTAATTTCCCTATAAATTGTATTTATTATTATTCAATTACACCGTTGAATTTGTCCAAATATTCTCATGGTTGAATTGAATCAAGGAGTTTGGAGTCGTCTGAGGCCAAGGCATTTGATCAAAGGAGGCTGCGGTTGGTTTGAGAGGTTGGGTGCTGCATAACCATCTAAACTTGTTGCAACTCAGCCTCAGGCCCATTGTGTCGATTGAACGAGTCACTTTCTAATTGGTTGCTGTAGTGCTGTAAAGTTCATGTAAAACACTAACCGACCTTATTGAAAATCACAGGGAACCATCACATTCTCCTTTTTGAACCGCAATGCCAATACTTTCCTTTGTAGTAATTTTTTGTTGAAAGATATTGATAATCTCCGTCCATTACCAATTGGTATTTTATTAATTGTCTTCATTCTAATGCGTACGGAGATAGTGAGTGCTAACTAGGAAATGAAGTGATTCTGTGACAAATGGTAAATAACATATGATTTACTAAGGAGGAGGGCCTTGAGCCTCACTTTGCCTTTAGACATGCCAGGGGGTTTGGTTTGGTACTTGTTAGCTCCACTCATTTGAATTGCAACAATTCGTGGTTTGCGTTTACTTGTCCTGACTTATTGAATAATATTAGATGACAATTACAAAGTTCGATGGTTTATCTCAAGCAAAGGACACATGCCTCAAAACAACCAAAATTCTAAAATAAATCACAAGCCTAAATAATGAAAACTACCACCACCACTCGAAGCCATGCCACCAATTATTGTGAAATATTGGACAGATATGAGGAAATTATGATATCTAACAATTCAGTTTCGCATGATAGTCAATAGATGCCCTTATTTGACGAAAATGACCAAAATCACTTGAGTAGATAACAGCAAAATCCACTAAAAAACATGTAGTACTAAATTGAGGGAAAGTTAGAATTTTGGAGGGAGCGTTTTGAGAGAGAAATTGGATTGACAGAGAAGAAAGATGGTTGTGGACTAGAAAAAGATGTTAAAAGGAGCGGGGAGTGCGGCTAGAGTTTGTTTTTGCCCTCTCTTGGATGTGTTTTTTTTTTTTTTGGGTCGAATTGGATGTGTTATTTTTGAATATTTTAGTACACGTATAAATAAACAAAAAAAAGAGAGAATATTTTAGCATCCATACAAGCCTCAGTTATGTTTTTAATCAATAATGCTACATTTATCACATTTTTATCCCACATTTCTACATCACATGATGTGGTATGTCCATATTATATGACACATCAATTAAATCAATGAAGTGTATTTTAATTAAGATAATTAGAAAAGCAAATACTGGAATAAATCATAAAAGAAAATAAAATATTAAATAATTTTAATTGAGGTGGATGTCCACCTTAGCTGTCATATAAGATGGTATAGGAATGTAGTATGCAAATGTGGTAAGAGTATCATTATTCTTAATTCAATGATCTATATATAAAAAGCAAAAGGCAGAGAATGGTGAAACATTTAAAATACCAGAAAATGCCCTTGGTTAATACAAACATTAAGAATTGAAATTATTAATTAAATTAGGATAATATAGTAAATTCACTTTTTCATATTACAAAAATTAAAATTAAAAAAAAAATATTTTTATGGAACACAACTACCAATTATCTTTTTTAATTCTAAAATAAATGTTTTTTTTTTAAAAAAAAAAAGCCTCTAGCAGGAGTAAAAGTGCGTGCAGAGAGGCTAATATATATATATATATATTTATATATATATATTCCAACAACAACAAAAATCAAATTATATGTTTTCTTTTTAAACTTCCGGTAGAACATGAAGACATTTTAAACTTAAATACCGCTCCTTCTTTAAAATGTCCTATATCATGAAGATAAAATTTTAAGGATAAAGAAAATAAAAGAAGAATAATAACTAAAGCACATTTTTCGTATTCACCAACTGTTGAAAATTGAGATATGAATTCATCACCAACTAGCTTTTAGTTTAATAGTAATTCCCTTCGTGATGCTGAAAGAAATTCAAAATATGAGTTTTATCTCCCTCGTTGATAAAAAAAAAATATAAAATTATGAAATAACTTGTTTACTTATTAGGAATGGGTACAAGAAAAAAAAAATTCCCTAAGTTCCCTCATGTTTATTGATTAAAAAAAAATGAGGGTTACATAGTTTAATATATAATCCAATAGTACCCTCAAAACCATGAATTGAATCTATTAGGGGAGTTGTTAATCCAATTCCAATTTTTTTATTCCCCTATTTCTAAGTTCCCCACCCAATTCAAAGTAAGTACCAAGTGAAACTAATGACACTAGACTAAATTATTAGTGGCAGAGCATACTGAAAGACATTCAAAATTCGAATTATCATTTTTCTCGTTGATACTAGACTGATGATACTAAACTGAATTATTATTGGAAGATCACACCTTTTAATTTATTCAACATATATTGTCCGTAATTCGAACTCTCTCTTATAAAAAAGTGAAGATCCACACGGTGATTAGTAATTGAGCAATTTTTTTTAATCTGATCAAACACATTATGCATGATGTGCTACAACATAAATACAAATCACCTTATAATCTGATCACAAAATATGACACAGCTACTAGTCCTACTTTTAAAAGAGAAGGCTTAAAATTTGAGGTAAAAAACTTGACCCAAAAAGTTTTTGAGGGAAAAAAAAACAACATAGAGAAAATAGTGGAGCAAAATCATTAGAGAGAGAGAGAGAGAGAGAGGGGGGGTTTAAAATTGAAATTGAAAGGGAACCGGAACGGAACCCAGCTAAAAACTTAAAACATTTAAGATTCAAAATAAAAGAAAGAGAGAGAGAATGGCGAGAAGAGTATGAGATTTCAAAACGCAAGAGAGAGAAAGTGGGAAGAAATAGATAGAGACTCGAGAGAGAGAGAGAGAGACAGAGCTTCTCCCACATTTCCTCTTTCCTTAAATTTCTTCTGTTTCGCTCGATATCTCTGAATCTCTGAATCTCTGAATCTCGAATTCTAATTCCTTCTAGCTAGAAGACAGCCAGAGAGAGAAAGAAACAAAGGGAGATCGTTTTCATTTCCAAATTTCCAATTTCTAGGGTTTCAATCAGATCCATCGCTCTCTCCCTCAGATCTTTGATCCTCAATCCTCTGCTGCGATGGAGGCGATCGAGGAGTTGTTGCAACTATCAGACTCGATGCGCCAAGGCGCGGCTATACTTGCCGACGAAGATGTTGACGAAAACTCAAGCTCCTCCCGCAGGGCTTCCAGTTTCCTTAACGTCGTCGCTCTCGGCAATGTTGTAAGTCAACCAATCTCCTTTTGGATTCGATTCGTTGGAATTTGATCTCTTTGATTCCACTTGCTCTGTTTCCAATCAGCGATCTTTAAATCTACGCTTTGAGTTTGGACCTTAATCGATGTTTCTTATTTGATTTGGGTTTTTGTGAACACCCTGTTTGTTTGTGTCGAGAACTGAGGACTAAGGGAAACATAGCTCACAAAAGACAAGATATTGAATCTGAAATCCAAACTCTTAATGAGTTTGATTTGATTTGGGCTATAAATGAGGAAAATGATCACCAGACACAATAATGGTTTAAACGCCTTGGGCAGTTCTTGGCGATCTGCAATGGTCCACCTTACTGTGCCACCCTGAATTAACTGAAAAAAGTTACATTCAACAGTTTTCACTACTGCTATTGCTGTAGTTTCCTTGTAAATAGGAAATAAAGGATCTATTTCTTGACTTGTTCTCTTGCTGTGCATATAGTGTGCTTTTTTGTGCGTGTCTGGATATGTGCATTTGTTGGTGCATTCTGCGTGTCTGTCTATATATGTTTTTATCCATGGAATCACTCTTACCTTGTAGCTTCAGGAATTCTAGAGTTCAGTAGCTATCTATTCTCATAATCTATAATGAACAGATTGAAGATGAATTTATATTTGCAAAACATTAAATATGTATGGCATCATTTCTTATGTTTGGGATTACTCTTGTGCTTATCCATACTGGCCTCACTGTCTGGAGATCCTGATATTGCCTTCTTTTTTTTCCTGATGGTTGTTATTTTCAGGGTGCTGGTAAATCAGCTGTTTTGAACAGTTTAATTGGACACCCCGTTTTGGTAAGTAGTACAAGGTTTGTGTTGTTTGTGACCAAATAGAAGCTCTATTTTTATTCTAAGGTTAATTTCCTCTTCTCCTTCCAGCCAACTGGTGAAAATGGTGCTACTCGGGCTCCCATTAGCATTGATCTGCAGAGAGATGCTTCTTTGAGCAGCAAATCTATTATATTGCAGATCGACAATAAATCTCAGCAAGTTTCTGCAAGTTAGTAATTGCATTTTTGCATTCTCTCATTAGTTCAAGTTATTGGTTCACTGTTGCTTTTTGTTCAGATGTCTTTGGTCAACATTAGGAATCCCCTTTGAGAGCTTTATAGTTTTTGAATGACCTTTAACATATGCTGGGTGTATACCCAGTTGAAGCCAATGTGACTTACAACCCCTTACAAGATAGTGTAGAGAAATACTATGATGTTTTGAATGCTTGATGTATGGTAACCTTGCTAAGCTCATTCTTATTGTGTCAGTTTTGAAACTCTAATATGATTGATGTTGTTCTGCAGGTGCTTTACGGCATTCTCTGCAAGGTAGGCTGAGTAATGCCACAGGCAAAAGTCGAGATGAAATTAATTTGAAACTACGGACAAGTACAGGTTAGTTCATATTGTTACCTAGCTTCCAGTCTCTTCACTCATTAATTAATTGTAAGTGGTTGATTGAAATTTTATCTCTACTAACATGATTTTTATTGCAGCCCCACCTCTAAAGTTGATTGATTTACCTGGGCTTGATCAACGAATCATGGATGAGTCTATGGTAAGTGACCGTTTGCAGTTCTAGACTGTTAGTCTTTCAAGGGATATGTGGTAGGATTTATTTGATGTCTCAGTGGCACTGCTACTCCCTTTACTTAAGTTTAACCTGGTAATCTTTAGCAAGAAAGTTTCCTTTTTCCTTTTGTAGATTAGCGAATATGCTGAGCACAATGATTCAATTTTGCTCGTTATTATACCTGCATCTCAAGCACCTGAAGTTGCTTCATCTCGAGCCCTCAGAGTTGTCAAAGAATACGATGGAGATGGTAAAAACATTGCTATTTAGTTTGTAGGACCTTTTTTCCCTACTTGAGGGAGTGGGTTGCTGAAATGTTCACTTTATTCTTTGTTCTCTAATTATGTTCACCTTAATGCACCCCCTCTAATATCCTTCCTCTTTTTTCCCCATATTTTACTACATTGTTATTGTTTTAGTTGTTAGAGCAACTGAAAAGACAATCAAATATTGATTACAGGTACCAGAACTGTTGGTGTAATTAGTAAAATTGACCAAGCTTCTTCAGATCAGAAAGCACTTGCTGCAGTCCAGGCTCTTCTGTTAAATCAGGGGCCATCAAGAGCGTCTGATATTCCATGGGTTGCTTTAATTGGTCAATCAGTTTCAATAGCTTCCGCACAGTCTGGAGGTTCTGAGAGTTCACTAGAAACTGCATGGAGGGCTGAAAGTGAAAGTCTGAAGTCCATTTTGACTGGAGCCCCTCAAAGTAAGCTAGGTAGAGTAGCATTAGTGGATGCTCTGGCGCAGCAGATTCGAAGTCGTATGAAAGTCCGGCTTCCAAACCTCCTTACTGGGTAATGTTTCCTGGATTATATATATCCTTTTTATTATATTGTCTGCGTTGTCTAAGTCATTCATATTATTGGAAGCACATGTCTTTAGGCTATGCTTAGTGCTGTGTTACAAAATGGTTATTTGGTTTCCAAACCAGACAATGAGTAAAATGTAATTGGTTGCCTTGGTATCAGAGCTTGGATCCTAGCCTCCACAAAGAAAAAACCCTAGCCTCTATCAGAAAGAAGAAAAACCTAGCCCCGTACCTCCCCTCACAGCCTGCCTCCTATGGAGGTGGGCCTAGTCATGGCCACGTCTTGGATTTTTTTGGCTGCTGTTTTGTCAGGGTTATTTTCTTGTTGGTAGCTTGTATATTCTTTTGGCTTTATTCTGGAGTTTTGGGTCCACTTTTTTTGCTGATCTAGTCCATCCTAGATGCGTTTTTGGTTTCTGGTTTTGGGGGGACTATTTCCTGGTACCTTTACTAATCGTGACACAAAATGTCAAAAAATTTAGTTTATATTGTTAATCCTAGGATTTTTCATTTCTAAGTGCTGTTCACAGCTCACTTGGCCATTCCAGTTGCATTGGCCTAATAAAATTAGCTTAATCAATACTTAAGATATTTGTAATTGTAAGTATCAGCTTAGGACTTGGAGTTTCTGATTGAACAGCAATGTAGTTTAATTTACACCCCCTGCTTCAACTATGGTATTACTTTTTTTTTTTTCCAAGTTAATTTATACTTTTGTATTTTCCAGGTTACAAGGCAAGTCTCAAATAGTTCAGGATGAGTTGGTAAAGCTTGGTGCGTCAATGGTGCAGAGTGCCGAGGGTACCAGATCTCTAGCTTTGGAACTTTGCCGTGAATTCGAGGATAAGTTTCTCCAACACATTACATCTGGTGAGGTGAGTTCTTTTTGTTAAATGGCCATTTTTGTGTTCTAAGTATATTTTGTTGTATATTACTTTTTATTTCCTTCAAATTATTGGTAAATACAAATACAATATTTTGAATAGTTCATATAAGAAAGGTAGAAAAGTGGCAAAAAGATACAATCCCTCCTGAAACCACATCCCTCTTAAAAGTGGACGTATGTTTATTTTAAAATGCTGTAAAGTACTAAGCCCTCTTTTTTAATTTTATTTTTTTTAATCAAGAAGTTTGTCCAATCATTGTCTGACAATGAGGCAACCTTTAAGTTAGGTCTAAAATCTCATTATTTTACTCCTTGTCTTGGGTTTTTAGATGCAGTCCATATTGTAGTAATAGAAGAGTCGTTCTGAAATATCTAATGTATTAAACTTAGCAATCATTCAATTTATACAATGTCTCACCAGAAGCCTTACTAAGTTAATATGTTGTTCTGCTGCCATGTTTCAATCAGCTGCTCTGTTTCTATCAGCCGCTCATCCTATTTTTTTGTTCATTATTATGGATCATAGTTTCCATTAGCTTCAATTTTATCTTATATTTAAAATGGCCCCTTTGTTGTTACTTTATGTGGTTTCTCAGATTTCTTCACGATATTCAGAATAACTGGATCTATTTTGGGTATTTAGTACCATTTTGTTTCCTACAATGAGATGGAATGTTTCAGGTTTAGGTAATTTTCATGGAGTTCCTTGAATTTTTTGCTCATATGGTTTTATAAATTACTTTGCAGGGTTCTGGATGGAAAATTGTTGCCAGTTTTGAAGGAAACTTTCCAAATAGAATAAAACAACTACCATTAGACCGACATTTTGATATCAATAATGTGAAGAGGGTATGTTTTGTCTTTGCTTTGTTTCTCTTACACTCTGGTTTAAAAATTCTTTTAACTTCTCATGTATCATTTTCTATCAGATTGTGTTGGAAGCTGATGGCTATCAGCCATATCTCATATCCCCTGAAAAGGGTTTGAGATCTCTAATAAAAGGTGTTTTAGAGCTTGCAAAAGAGCCATCACGTCTTTGCGTGGATGAGGTAAACCTTGCCATGTCTTGTTCTGCTTTTGCAAGAGTCTGAATTTCTTGTCTTGCTGTTTTCAAGTGTGCAAAAAGATATCGTGTAGTCTTCACCTTCGTTTTTTCCTCTTTATTATGTTTGAGTTTAGTGCAGAATAATAATTATAAATAGGATTTTCTCTAGCTGGAAAAATTGAAATCTCTGACTTTGATCTATTTATGAGTCTTAGACTGCATTTTCAGTTGTGTTGTAGGTCTACATTGCCTTGGGTTTCTTCTGATATCAAAATAGTAATTGTTGAATAATATAAGTCCCACATCGGAAACTAGACTAAATAAAATAAAATATATAATGAATGGTTCCACTACTAATATCATCGAGGTCTTTTGCGATAAAACTCCACACTAACTAGGCTTTGTAGGTGGTTAAGTTGGGGACAATTTCGGTGTTTCTAGTAGTGGGTCGTTGACCAGTCTCTCTGAAATTTAACATGGTATCAGAGCCAGGTTGATTGACTTTGCCTGAATTGGGCCTTTACCCTTACCCAATATGTGGTGTTCACATGTTGGACTTGAATGTTTACCCCTACCCCTTATCCTATGTGATCGTCTCATGCGAGGGGGCGTATTGAAGAATATAAGTCCCACGTCGGAAATTGGACTAAATAAAATATAATATATATTGAATGGTTCCACTACTAATATCATTGAGGCCCTTTGTAACAAAACCCCACACCTACTGGGTTTTGTAGGTGGTTAAGTTGGGGACAATTTCGGTGTTGCTAGTAGTGGGCCATTGACCCGTCGCTCTGAAATTTAATAATAATGTGGACTCATCTCTTTTGAATTTTATTATTTGATATGAATGAGTGGTCTTGGAGGGCACTACCTACAATTAAATTCATCCCTTCACTGCTGTGCAATCGTAGCATTGACAATTGTATGAGTAAATATTGACAAGGAAATCTTGGCTGATTGATTAAATAGGTACACCGTGTCCTGGTAGATATAGTTTCTGCTGCTGCAAATGCTACACCAGGTCTTGGAAGATACCCTCCTTTCAAGAGGGAGGTATGATAACTGAAATATTGCCCGGTTCTTTTTCGTTTTTAGCTCTTTGCTTCCTATGATTTTTCACAATGCTTAATCCAATGAATAGATTCTGTATGGGTTAACTTTTTTTTTTCCTTCAATTTATTTCAAGGTTGTGGCCATTGCAAGTGCTGCGTTGGATGCATTTAAAAATGAAGCTAAGAAAATGGTGGTTGCACTGGTAGATATGGAGCGTGCTTTTGTGCCTCCCCAACACTTCATTCGCTTGGTGCAAAGGAGGTAGTTTCTATTTTTTTGTTTGATCAGTGACGCATAATGCCCATTAAGGCTCCAGGTGCAAACTGTTTAAGCTTCTGTACATATTGGACATCATGCAGTATTGCTGAAATCAATTCCTTTTGCATGTTGAGATGGAAGGAGCTTAATTAGCTACACTATTGTCATATAACTTAAGTGTGCGTGCACGCACATGTTCTTGCACACATTGTGTCCACATGGACTTTTTTTTATTAAATGTTTTGTTTTTGAGTTGGTATTCTGATGTATATATGCATCTTGTTATACAATCTATTGATTCTTGGTCTATTACAGGATGGAGAGGCAGCGAAGAGAGGAGGAAGTGAAAAATCGATCCTCTAAAAAAGGACAAGAGGCAGAGCAAGCAATGATGAACCGGGTAAGGGACCGACTCTTTGTAGTTATGTAAACTGCGATTAATGAAATTGAATATACTATTAAGTGGGTAAATGAATTTATTTTACATATAAAGTGTTGATTTTATTGTCTCTTAATTATTTAAGGTGCTTGTTCATGATTGTTCTTTATCTTCTTTTTTTAGGCGACTAGTCCTCAAACAGGGGGTGAGCAAGCTGGTGGAAGCTTGAAATCATTGAAGGATAAGGATAAATCTGGTAAGGACAGCAAAGAAGTACAGGAGGCATCTGGTTTGAAGACTGCAGGTCCGGAAGGAGAAATAACAGCAGGTTTGTATGCAACTTTTTGCACATTATGACCACTAGGAACAGGGATAGATCATACATCTGATATACTGTACTTCTTGTTTTGTGAAACTGATGCTTGTTGTATTAATATGTTTGAGAAACAGTAGGCCCTGCTGGTGACTGTTTTTCTGAAGAAAAAAATTGAGTTTTCCTGACTGAACGCTTTTAGTGGTATTTTATTAAGATATATCTCATTTTTATTTGCTAAGTACATACTTATTATAGGAGGTTGCGTGAAACATTTTTTTAAAGCTTAGAATTACCTGCGACAAGGTTCTCTGGAGTCAATTGTCTTTTTTTATGCACGTTGGAAGTGTATTGTTCTCAAATTAGCATCTTTGAACATTATTTGGCAGTTAGCAGATCATTCCTTCACATTTTTTAAAATGCCTGTGTAAATTTTTGCAACAATGTCAAACCATACATACCAGTAGTCACAGAAACTGATCACCTTAGTCAGGAAATGTGGAAACAAACATGCCAGGTCTTGTATGCTCTAGTTCAATCCCTCCCTTCCCCAATTCGTAACTAATAAAAATGATGATAGTAACTGTGGGAACTTTGAGCGATTGAAAGCACTTGTACTTCAAAAAAACTGTGTCATTAATCAGGGAAAAGTGGAAATGTATTATCTTGGGGATATATTGGTCTAATTTTTCTTCATTATATGTTATGGTGTGAATTCTTGAAAGCACCTGTACTAAGCAAGAGTCTTATTGTTGCTGACTGCACTTTTCTATTAAAGTAGTAAATGGCCAACTTTAAATTCAAAATCCATCTTGTGTTGGTTTTCTATGGGCAAGGGGATTTACTTAACCATTTAGATCTCTAAAGTTTTATAAATTGCACGTATTAATTTTAAAGTTTCAAATATTTGCAGGTTTCTTGTATAAAAAAAGTGCCAAGACTAGTGGGTGGAGCAAGCGATGGTTTGTTTTGAATGAAAAGACTGGAAAGGTTTGTAAAATTACACCCCGAGCCTATGATAAATCCAAGCTTATATAATTGCAATGGATTGTGGTGTCTAGATATCTGATGAGTGTGTTTATATGATGCATCAAATACTCAACATATGTTGGATAAATTTGTATCGTGTTTGATATGAATGATATTTAAAGACATGGATCATTTGAGTTTATTTAAAGTAGTATTTTTGTGTGTGGATTTATATGAGTTCGGTACATTGTCAAGTAAATGGAGTTCGTAATAGAAGGCCGAGGAATTAGCTCTGTTTGTTAATCACCAAACCAGTCTGCATCCATTTCAAATAAATGTAGAACATAATCCATATAAGTACTAAGGAGATAGAAGGGCCTTTCTTTGTCCATACAAAAGGCCACCTTAAGAGTTATGCCTCATCTCAGTCCAGAAAAGAAAAAGAGTTGTCCTTTGTTGGAGAGTCTTGATCTCAATCAGAAGTTGTTCTATGCCTGCAAAATTTCTGGTGTCTCTTTCAAGCCATCAGTACCAAATGATTTCTTTATCACTAACTTTCTATGGCCTCCAGTATATTGTCAATTGAAGTGGTGGCACCCAACCAACCATCAGGCAGAGACACATATAACCTTAAAACTCCAAAAATGCATAAGAAATTGAGCCATACATTTCCTATTATCTCATATTCTACAACCATTAACAAGAAACTTGCCTCCTTTTGGGGAACAAAGAAAGAAAACACATCAAGGCTTGGTGGCTAAAATAACCACTTTCTTTATCTGGCTACTCTTTTGCTTATGTTTTTCTACTTAAAATTCCACTATTTGTTTTTTGATTATATTCAGAGAGGAAAGCCTTCATGTATAGTTTTATGTATGTTCCAATCCCTTTTGTTTGAGTCCTTATAAGATAGTGTCTTACAGCCAGACAAGAAGTCTTATAAAGGATGGAGTAGCATGTGCTAGCTCGCAGATTATATACATGTCCCAAGATGTCGGAATTGAGTCATTTGTTTGCTTTCCCTTTATTTTACTTCAGAATATTGGATTGTAAATGTGTTACTGTTGTTGTTTCTACTCCTTTCGCTCTTGCAAATTGATATCTGGATTTAATTTGACCCTTTCTTTATTTCACAGCTTGGCTACACCAAAAAGCAAGAGGAGAGACATTTTCGTGGTGTCATCACTTTGGAGGTATGAGAACCCCTCCAATGCCTCACCTCTTCAAATTTATTATTAGTTATCTTAATCAACCAATTTTAATCCTTCTGTAGCATTTTACATTGTATTGCCATCAGTTGTGGTTGCCTAGGAGTTATCTGGAAGTAATATTTAGTATCCCAATGAATAGAAGTAGGATATGCTTCGATGCCGAGTTCTTTTCTTTTGAATGTTTTTTCCTTGAGGTTTTCAGAAACATTTCACTTGATTTCTTGACTTGGTGGGCTTGATTGATTATGAATTTTGGGTTGAAGGTGCTAACTGTGCCAACTGGTTTAACTAGGCTTGACATTATTATATGCTAACTGTTTGATCTTTATGGAATCAAGTTAATCCCTTGATAGCATAATAGATATTTGTAATTGTGAAGTTGTTTACACATAACTAAATTCATATTGGTGTTAAAAATATGACCAGCATTTCAGATAGTAATGAAAATTTTGTTATCTCTTTAGTCGTCTCATCCTGTGATCGAGAATGGTGTGACGACCTATCTGTTTCGTCGTCTTGGTGCATGCACAAAGCATTATATTGAACATGTGAACTCAACATGTATATTGTTAAGAGCGTCAGGGCTTACACCATTCATTATGAAGCTGAATGCCAGTGGCAATAGTGACCAAACTCTTTATTATTCTGCAGGAATGTAATATTGAAGAGGCTTCTGATGAGGAAGAACCACCTCCATCAAAGAGTTCGAAGGACAAGAAGGGAAATGCGTCAGAAAAAGCACCCAGTCTTGTGTTTAAAATTACTAGCAAAGTTCCATATAAGACAGTTCTGAAAGGTATATCCTTTTCTTTGGTGGTTGAAGTTGTCTGGCAGCAGATTCAGCCAGTCTGAAATGCAAGTTCATTATCAACTTGATTTCCATTTTTCTTGCAGCACACAGCGCTGTTGTGTTGAAGGCTGAGACTGTGGCAGACAAAATTGAGTGGATAAATAAGATTGGAAAGGTTATTCAACCTTCTAAAGGACCACTGAGGGGTGCATCAACTGAAGGTGGTCCTACCATGCGACAAAGTCTTTCTGACGGTTCTCTTGTGAGTTACCAACTTCTGTCACTTACAATTATGATAAAATGAATGGATGACTGAATGTCATTGTGGAATTCTATTTTTCTGTGATTCATTATTTTGGTACCTTCACTATCGCTATCTATTTCTTTGTAGTTGTAATTCCCTGTGTCAATGGTCTACTATAATATTGTGAACCTGTAGCCTTAATTTTATTTGTTTATTTTTTATATTCAAAGTTCTGACTTCTCATGTTGATCACCTTTTTAGGATACCATGACTCGAAGACCTGCTGACCCTGAAGAAGAACTTCGGTGGATGTCTCAAGAAGTTCGTGGATATGTTGAAGCTGTTTTGAATAGTTTGGCTGCAAATGTCCCTAAGGTAAGCTTGGAACATCGTCTTTGTATTTTTTTTCCTTGTGATTTGACATTTGGAGGGTACTTTAATACATTTGTGATTGGTTGAGCAGGCAGTTGTTCTTTGCCAAGTTGAAAAAGCCAAGGAAGACATGCTAAATCAACTATATAGTTCTGTCAGGTTGATTTGATATTTTCTTTCCTGCTTTTTATCTACCTTTTATCTTGGACTTGCTAAATCGTCCGCCTTTCATATGTTGTATGTGGTTGATGATAGTTGTGATAAATTAGTAATATATGTGCAGTGCACAAAACACAGTGAAGATTGAAGAGCTGCTTCAAGAGGATCAGAATGTAAAGCGTCGGAGGGAGCGCTACCAGAAACAGTCCTCACTACTTTCCAAACTAACACGCCAACTTAGTATTCATGACAACCGAGCGGCTGCAGCCTCCAGCTGGTCCAATGGTGGTGGTGGTGCACCAGGTATGTAGTTAAGAGCTGTTCTCAAATTATTTTGCTTTGCTTATAAATTTATATGATATCCTGGAGTGAATGAATAAATAAATAACAGAAAGTGCTTATCATTTATAACATATCTTTCCTATCTTTCTTTCGGAATTTGTAGATTCATTTTCTTTTACTTGTCACCTGGACAGACCTCAAATGTTTTTAGTCCACTGAATTTCTATGTAAATGCTTCTTTCTTTTTCTAACAGACTCTTAGATTCTTTGAAACCCTTAATTCTGATCAAGACTCTACCTTTTCTCTTTTGAATTTTATTTGCTTAGTAATTTATGGACATTGTATGTTAAATTTGCAGAAAGCAGCCCAAGATCAAGTGGTGCAACAGGTGATGACTGGAGATCTGCCTTTGATGCTGCCGCCAATGGTCCAGTTGACCGTAATTCATCTATATCTAGGTCTTCATCCAATGGCCATAGTCGACATTATAGTGATCCAGCACAAAATGGTGATGTGAACTCGGGTTCAAACTCTGGTAGCCGTCGCACTCCTAATCGGTTGCCACCTGCACCACCAGGTTCTTCAGGCAGCAGATACTTTTAGATGCGCGTCTAGATTGATTAATTGATGATTTATATTTTCCTTGCATTCTTGGTGGGTGAGGCTGCTCCGCCCTACTACATGATTTTTCTAGTAGAATCCTTAGACGAGGAGAGAGGGTGTGTGTACATAGAAGATTACATTCCTATCAGGTTCTTACGGCTTGCCCCAGTGTCACAAGGATGGATTCAAGGCATACTTGAAACACTATCATATATTCCTCTATTCAATTTTTCTTTCCGCGCGTAGAATTTTACCTTTCTTTTCATTACCTTTCCTTTTTTATTTTCCTCCACCCATTTTTGGATACTATAGCTGTATTTGCCTGTCATGATTTTGATTTGATATGTACGTTCAAGCTTTGATGGCTTTGTAACATCTGGATTCTCCTCTGTAGAGGGATGGATATATCATATCTCTCTCAATGTCATATATTTTGTTTTCCAGTATTGAACCAACCCTCTTCATTTTTTAATTGCGGCAGATGGTTACTTGTGCTACAATCTGCAATATTCAAATTTATGATATTTCTTGTAATGAATTTTTCATTTCTCAAAGATTAGAAGAGGCTGATAGAACTGTTAAGTCTTTGATTTCGGTTTTCGTGTTGCAATCCTATGTAAATTGTGGAAGGCACAAAAAAGCCAATATGATATTAGAAGCTTAATTTTTATCCACATTATAAAGGTGAATGCAACAATAATTTACCAAAGCGTTAGGTTGTTGGTGCCATTTATCAGATTTGAATTGATTGATATTTTTTAGTTTTTTGGTTCCTTGTCGGAATGGGTATTCTTTAAGAATGATGATTATTAAAAACAAAAAATTGAAAGAAAATAAGGATAACAGACAAAGGTAGCTCTGTAATTATATCTTCTGAGAAATGTCTCTTAAGGTAGCTTTTTCCCCATTGGGATAAATAAAAGAAGTCCCATCTGAAAAGCTTCTATGCAACCTGATTCTCAATGTGAATGTTCAACCTCCTGAGCCAAATAGAGTGAACAATCATATTGAAAACATCAAATCTCTTGGAGGGTCCGTTTACCACAAAATGCCTTTGAACCTGTTTCACTCTCCTGTGCATTCTCAAATACTGACTCTGAGATATTCCCATTAGTATTGTTTTGATGTTTGGTATGTCCTTCACTTGTATTTGGACAGAGAATGACTTCCAATCAAGAACATCACTGAATGGTGGAACATAGCTATCAGATATCAACACAGGAATGCATTCAGCATATATGGCTTCCACAACTCTGGGGTTTGCCACTTCATAACCGCTAGGGCATAAGCAAAACCTGCTCTTCTTCAACATCGATTCGTAGGACACTCCGTGGGGAAGTTGGTCGTAAACTTGCACGTCTTGGTCTTTCTCTTTCCATTCATTTAGAAGCAAGTACCTTATGTGGCCATGTAGCCGGCCTGCGAAGAAGGCAAGAATCGACCTGCGAGATGGGGAGAGCCCACCAAGAAGTCCTTTGATTTCCCCTGTTCGGAGATGGATTTCTGGAAATGAGGCATCTTTAGAAGGATTGAATCCTTCAGAAGTGTTGGCGTTGCATAACACTCTTATGGACTTGTGGTATAAATGAGGAACATAAGAAGATGTGCGCGGCCCCTGTAGACAGACAAATTCAGTTCACAACATAAATTTGGTACCACTATTGTAAGCCTCATGCAACCAAGTCACCATATAAATATAATGGACTATATTGTATAAACAGAGAAAACAAAAAATGAAAAGGAGAGGCAAAGGTTAGGGGCAGAAGGTGATACGATTTCTTACCCAATCATGGCAAGAAAGCATAAAGTGATCAGCGCCAAGGCTTCTATTCCAGAAGGGATGCTTATCGGAAATGACATTGACATAGTCGATGACAGCCCGTCCAATGGAGTCTGTGTTATGGGAGTCGGCCGCATAGAGGTACTGAACCAACATCACCACACTAAATGGGAGAAAATAAACCAGGGCCTCATCAGGGTCTCTGGTTCTGTAAATGTTATTGTCCATTTCCATTTCATGAATAAACCTCCCTTCTGTAGAATATATGCTCTTGCAAGGACCATTGTGAAATATTGGTGGGTCTCCTTCTTCATATACATATATCTTGAAAAGCCTCTCCATCTCCAAATAACTCCTGCAGTTCAATCAATTTAATTTTTCTCTGATTTATAAAGAATCATTATTCAAGTCGTAAAAACTATTTGTACTAATACTTAGGATTGTAATTAAAATACCTGTGAAAAGCATTTGCATTCCTGTATATTGGTCCTTTAGGAACATAGTCGGGATCTTCATGGGTAGAGGTTAGATTTCGAACTCGAGCAGCTTCTCTTATCGAAGCCCGAACTCCAGCCAAATTTGCTTCAAGTTTCTCTAACCTGCTATATCTCTTTATAGTTGTTGATGCAGAAGTCACATTAACTTCATCAGCTCCTAGGCCTTGATCATTCCATACCATCTCATGTTTTTCTCCCTGTGGTTATGCAACACCAATAGAACAATGAGCTACTTTGTCAACTTGAAGAAACACATCAATGATACATATAGATATAGTTACAATGGTCATGCATGAAAAAAAAATTTCAAAATCTTCATTACAATTTGATGAGGGAGAAGATGTGTTGTTGTTTCATTTGGTTTTGACGATGATGAAGAATTAATATGATGAGCTTCTGCAGCTTCAAGCACTTGAGAAGGTCTTGATCTTGTAGAGACAGCTAGGGATGAAGAATAGTCAGTCTCCAATATCTTGTTGCCAAATCTCCATGTCCATGAAGACGAACCCGAAGTGCAAACAACCACTGATATCACAAAAAAGGGCACTACAAACACTAAAATTAAAACTGAATAATATGAAGAAGATGACCACAATGCTGAAAACAAAGAATATGGCTTATTGAGAGGCTTCATCTCTCTCTTTCTCTTTCTCTCTCTCTCTCTCTCTCTCTCTGGCCATCCACAAATCACAATTACACTATATGCGCATGCAGTTCTAGACTACTGAATGAGCTTATTGTGCTATTGATGGATTCATTACTTAAACTGCTGGTTATTCCTTGCTGCTCATAAAAGTCATTCTTTGAGAGAGGGTTGTGTGGCAAAGCTTTTTGGTGTCTATATATATGTAAGTGTATGTGTGTGTGTTTCTGGCCATGAGATGCTTCCTTGCTGCTTGATCCAAGTTTGGCTCTCTTTCCGAAAGTTACACAACTTTCACATTCGCATTATTTTTCCTGTCATTCATTTTTTTCTTTCTTTCCAACTACTACTACTCACAATCACTGATGCAGGGATCCTAACCTAACCAACAAATTAGAAACTAGAAAGAACAGAATTTAAGGGCTTAATAAATTTGCAAAAATGTTCTTCCCAAAAAAATAAAAAAAATAGTATGGGGGATTATAATATTATGATATAGAACGTGTTTATTATGCTTGCAGATAACAAGGCTCTCTAACTTCCAAGTATCAATTCCCAGTAATCAATCTGGTGAACTAATTAAACTAATGCAGTGCCCAACTAATAAAATATCTCAATCCTGACTCAGGTATCAGACAGTGCTAGTTTAACCCAATGAGATAGCTGTTAGCATTTTATAATGAATATGAGTGTATTGTATTATAATAGTGGCAGGGTGTAGGAAACATAGGAGGGATAAAAGAACAGTTTCAAGTACAAATAGAAACTTAAGAGCCCTTTCTTTGATACGAAATAATATTTGATTATATGCACCTAAATTCAAAAATGGAACCTACTTCATTACCAAGTCATCTTGGGATGCCCTCAAAGTCCGACTTTCTGTCCGTCACCGTCACCGTCACCTTCACTGTCACGTACACTAACTTTGATTTTGCAAACATTTTGGAGAATCCGAAAAATGTATTGTCCTACCAGCTAGGAAAGTTGATTTTTTCCCTTTCACTTCATCTTAATAATTATTTATATTTTCTACGAGGGCACAGCCGTTAGTTTGGCAAGGTGGAAAATTTCCACTACACACACTCTGGTCGGGAAGAGGTTTTAAGGTGATGATTTGAATTTAGAGTGTCTGATTTTACTTCTCGCCTCATGCTCATTCTTTTACCACATTAGACCATATCTTGCGATTTGCACAACTCGGAGTTTTGAGGTGCTCTATAGTTAAATTTTGAGGTTTACTAATGTACAATTCCAATGGTTTTACTCTTGCCACCTATGAATTGTCCCCATATTTGCTAGCCTAGACAAAAAAAAAAAAAAAAAAACAAAGAAAGGGCTAGCTACCACTCCAAAGTCTCCCCTGTTTCTTTATCAATCATGACAGTCTCGTTTCTGAGTGAGGTAGTACTATTATTATTAGTAATTATAACACGCACCTTAAAAGATTTTAAATCATGAATTAATGTTGACCATTTTGTTATCATCTTCTGTAAAACTAATTGTGCAAGTGTTTTCCGTTTGGAGGGTACCATCTCCATATAGAGACATAATCTACTAAAAAGTCAAGAACCCCTTTTGAATTTTAGGACAAACCAAAAAAGTGCAGGCCAAGAAAAACGTTCCTACCTCTCTATTTGTTGTTCGTATTTTAAATGGAAAGGGTCGGTTGTTGATTTTGGACGACAATTCATACAATATGTAAGTTGTGTTTCAATGCCAGTATTGGATCCAAATGGAAATTTTTTTTTTGGTTGCCAAAGAAAGGGGGAAGAGGGTTTTCTCACACATTATCAAAGTGCAATGAAGTCACAATGTGCAATGGGGACAATGGAGTCACAATGTGCAATGGAGTTGAACTTAAGATCACAGGTCTACAAGTCAAAGACCATTTTCCAATGAACTAAACCTCGTTGGATGTTATAAAAAATAAGTAAAACCATTCCCCACAAGAAAGCTAGAAAGCTCCAAGATATGTTTACCGTTTATAATTATTATTAAGGGAACGGAGAAAGAAAAAAAAAAGGGTTGTTGCAATGATTATAATGATGATATAAATAGGACAAGGATACAGCTCACAAGTAAAAAGAGCCAGGAAGAGCTCAACCGACAAAATTTCCTGGACTGGTCTGTTCTATGAACACTAAATGCCATATAAACACTAACCGCCATATCTATGAAAAGCTTCACAAGAGCTAACAATGAAAAAATTAGACATACAAGAAATATTATGATACCCTTATTATCTACAGATTGTTGCTTCTCCCTCACCTTTTCAACCTCAGATCTGCAAAGCAATAACAATTGTATTAGAATACACGCATCTATATGAACTGTTCACCTAGCAGAAACACGTAGATGAATTCAGGCTAGATACATCAAGGTGAGCATTAAACCATTGTTTACTTTTTTCGGTTGCTTCAGCTTACATATATTTGATGAAAATGACGACGGAAAACATGCATAAGGTTGCCTTATCTTTAAATTAACTTGCTTAAAAATTAATCCCTGTATATATAACTACCCTTTACGAGCTCATATAATATATTTATTATATTTGAAACTAAAACAAATTTGAGGGCAAAGTTTAAGAAATATACAGAATTTGAAACACTTCAGTTTTCTTAAGTCCCTTTTCTTTCTTTATTTGCTGTAAAGAGGAGCTAATAAGATTGCGTGCACTAAATAGTTACTCCCCAGAAAAACATAACTTGTCAACTCAACATCGCATCAATGTAGAAAATAAAATTTCAATACATATAAACTGGAGAAGTCTTAAACAAAAGATCAAACCCTGACCTGAGGATAGCATTGTCCCTGACTAAATTACCCAACTGCATGGAGACTAGGGACTGCCAAGATAATAGGTTGCGAACATCTTTAGCCTACAAGGACAAGAAAACCATTTAAAAATAGTATTAACGCATAATACCGCCAATAAAGAAAAGGCAATACCAATATTTCCAAGAATAATGACAAAGCTAATAATAGTCAAAATTCTATGAGATGAGAGTTATGCATACAATGATTTCCTGGCTTTCAAGGAGATTCCTTATGTCTTCTCTGATCTTCTGTACATCTAAATCCTTTTCTCCCAAATCTTTGTCGAATTCTCTGAAAATACTGCCATATCTTGAATTAGATTCCTCCAGGTATCGCTCCAGAACTGATAAACTAAAATCCAAGGAACGAACTTTCTGCATTAGTATTTTAAGAACGGTGTCCCCAGGCATCCTGTTAACTTGTAGATGGCGAACCTCTTTGATGGGATCAGGCACTTCACTATTCATTATTTCATTGTTCAAGTCAGAGTTTCCAACTGCAGATTCAGGTTCCAATTCTTTAACAATATTATGATAAAATTCATCAACCTCAGGGGAGTCTGGGTTGGAGGACGTAGGTTTCGGGTCAACAGTTGCTCCCTCAGACACAAACGGACTGCTTTCAACAGAAATCAAATCCTCAAGCATTCGCTCAACAGCATCCACTCCATAAATTTCAATAACACTGAGTGTGCAATAGAATTCTGAACCGTGATGGCTCAAAAGATTCAACTTTATATATCTCACCCACTTGGGTTCCTGAAAATCAAACCTTTGCGCAAGCTTATTATTTGCAGCAGTGAAATTCCCAAGTAGAACCCATTCATCTGTTGGATAGACCAAACTGCCAAGCAGCTCAAAAGCCTTTAAATTAGAGGAATAGTGCTCATGATTAGCTATTTGAATTGTATCTACTAACGTTTCTTCTGAAAGCTCTATATCGACAAATTTTCCTTCTGCAGAACATGGATTGCGAAGGTACTTGTCCTTATCCCTGCCTAAGATATTAGAGGCACCCTTAGCTTCCTTGTTAAAAGCCAAGACCTTGGCTCCCTTTGCAGCTGAAGCATAATTGTATTCAGCACCACCAGGCTCCACTCTGTGTTTTATGCCTCCAGCCTCACCATTTCCAGATTTAGTTTTGGAATTAAATGTTTTGCTCTTGAACTCATCAAGACCAAGTGGCACAGCACGAGGTACGCGGCCATTCTTTGGAGCATCATTTTCAAGTTTCACACCTGAACCAGAGCTCTCCACTTCAGTTTGCTCACTAACAGCTGAGTCAAAAAATATATCTCCTTCAGCTGAGGCACAATGTCTACTTCCTTCACTAGCAAAGAATTCACCATTTAAACCACTGCTTTCAACACCATTTGCACACACACCTCCAGAATAGTAGACCAAATCAGTTTCTTTTTGTATATCTACAGAATCAGAGTGTTCATCCTGGTCCAGCTTAGCTTTGTCCCAAGTTGATATACCAACTGGAGATACAGTGGATCCATCTAACAGAAAGAAGAGACAAAATAGCTCATAACAAGCAGCATGCATGAGTAAATCTAAAAATCACACTAAAAGTGAAAAAAGATAAAAGAAAAAGAAGAAACAAGATGAATGTAAAAAGAGAAATTAATGACAGTGTTTCATCAAAGAATTCACTTGTTTGCAAGGGGAGATACACAGTCAACTTATCGAGAGATTTTCAGCTGAAATTTCGCTCAGGATAACACTGCAAACCATCTTAATCTCGGGGAAGTTTCATGAAATTGCAGAAACCTTCCAGACAATTTCCTTGCTTGGGCATGAATTTTGGCCTTGCACTGAAAATACTGAAAATACTTCAGGTGCTTCTCTACTAAGCACCCCTATTGTGCCCTTACACAAGAGTTGACTGCCTCTTGGGTTTCCTAATTTTTAAAGCCTTAAGCTCTCTCCCCCTTTTTGTTCTTTCAACCAATGTCAGATGGTAAATAAAAGGTTGAAATGTCCAGTTTCCAAACCTCCCCGGCCAACTAAACAGCCCTCAATCATATAACCTGCAATGATTTCGGTCTTCAACAGTTAGGAAGCCAATCAATTTTCCCAGTCTTTAAAATTTCCCAAAGCCCAACCCTCAGT